TCCGGCAGGAACAGTTTGGGCTGGAACCTCCTCGCCCAACTCTACCTGAGGCTCCACTGCTGGTACTGCTGCACGAGCTCTGGGCTGAGCCCTGCCCCTGCCTCGGCCTCTGGCACAGCCTCAGACTCGACCTCTACCCCTCGTAGGAGTTGCCACCGGGGGATCTAGCTGCTGCTCAGCTGAGGAAGCAGTACATGTTCTTGCCATCTGCGAGAGAATAAGAGTAGAAGAGTTCAATTAGTATTGAGAAAACAAAATCGCATGATAGGGAAGAATATAAAAGAAATTTGTTCCTAAACTTCATAGCCTCTGGAAGATAAGCACAGACATCTCCGTACAGATCCTCCAGACTCTACTAAGCTCACTCGTGAATCGTGAGACCTAGGCAACCTAGTGCTCTGATACCAACTTGTCACGACCCGGGATTCCCACCGTCAGGACCGTGATGGCGCCTAACATTTCACTTGTTAGGCAAGCCAACGATAGAGATTATTAAGCTAAATTCTTATACATTTCAATAATTAACAGTAAATAAGCTATAAGAAGGTAAAAAGAAAAGGGCGAAAATCCATAACAACTTTAATGCTTATACACAACTACCCAGAAACTGGTGTCACAATCCACGAACTACTAAGATTTAGCTACAAGTAAGGTGTCTGAAGGAAATACAACTGTTTTCGATACAAATGAAACAGTAAAGGAAATGCATAGAAGGGGACGCCAGGGCCTGCGGACGCCAACATGACTACCTTGGGTCTCCAAACAGATCAAGCCAGAAGCTAGACTTAGGGTCAACTCGGTCCGGTACCAAAATCTGCACAGAAAGTGCAGAGTGCAGTATTAGTATAACCGACCCCTTGTACTGGTAAGTGTCGAGTCTAACCTCGGCGAAGTAGTGACGAGGCTAGGACAAGATACCTACAAATAAACTTATGCAATATATATCAATATATACAATAACAACAACAACTAAAGAAGCAAGGCAAGAAATATTGGGAAGGGGACATGCTGAGGGGATTACATGGCAAGGAATCACAACATGAATTAGAACATGATCAATCGATATATCTTTAACAGAATGAAACAAGTAAACACGGTAAAGGAAAGTGCACGGTATCACCCTTCGTGCTTTTACTCTCAACCTCACTTTAAGAAACAATAGAAATGACACGACATCACCCTTCGTGCATTAACTCTCTTTCATAACATGGCAAGGCATCATCCTTCGTGCATTAACACTCACTCACAAAATATTGCATGACATCGCCCTTCGTGCTTTAACACTCTCCCTCACCAAGACAATGAACAATAACAATAGGGAGATAGAGATATCAAGAACAAGTCTTACTTCAACATTCAATTTCATGTTACTAACCTCAACTTTGAGTCAAGACTCAATCAATACCAATTTCCGTGAAACATAATAAGAGTTGTTCAACATAACGAATAGCTAGTCTAATCATGAACAATATGATCAAGGAATACCACGATTACAATAATAAGACTCACTCACATGCTATGACTCGATAACAACGCATAGATACTCGTCACCTCACCTATACGTTGTACTCAACATACAAACAAGTAGCAAATAAGGGAATAATACCTAATCCCTCAAGCCAAGGTTAACCACGACAATTACCTCGCTCCAAAGGCCACTCAATACTCAATCACAACTTTTCCTCTATAATCCACCTCCAAACCATTCGTATCTATTCAAAAACGATTCAATAATATCAAATATTACTAAAGGAATCAATTACATTGCATAGATTTAGATTTCCCAAAATTTTCCCCCCAAAAGTCAAAAATTGACTCTGGGCCCGCTTGGTCAAAATTCGAGGTTCGAACCAAAATTCATTTATCTATTCACCTCCGAGCCCGAATATGCAATTAGTTTTGGAATCCGACCTCAATTTGAGGTCTAAATCCCAATTTCTCAAAAATCCCTAATTCTACCATGAAAATCCTAGATTTTAGGTTGGAAATTTATGAAATTTAACGGGTAATTAAAATAAAATAGTTTAGAATCACTTACCAATACTTTGGGAAAGAATTTAGCTTGGGAGAATCACCTCTAGGCCGTTTGGCTTTTGAAAAGTTGAAAGAATGGCTTAAGTCCCGTAATAGGGCTGTTTAATAGGTAGACGACAGTGTTCATCGCGTTCGCGAGGACACTGTCGCGTTCGCAAAGAGCAGAGCTTGCCAAACTTACGCGATCGCGAAACTCCTATCGCGTTCGTGAAGGTTACGCCCCTGGCCTTCGCGTTCGCGAGTCCTTGCTTGCATTCGCGATGAAGAGTGACTGATCCCCTCCCCCAGGTCCCTATCACTACGCGTTCACGTTGAGCTGGTCGCGTTCGCGAAGAAGCAAAATTCAGCCAGCCCGGTTTCTACGACGCGTTCGCGAGAGGGCCTTCGCGAACGCGAAGAAGGAAACGAGAAGGCACTGAAACTGCAGAAACCAGATTTTTCCTAAGTCCAAACACATCTCATAGCCTATCCGAAACTCACCCGAGCCCTCGGGGCTCCAAACCAAACATGCACATAAGTCTAAAAATATCATACGAACCTGCTCGCACGATCAAATCTCCAAAATAACACCTAGAACTACGAATTTAGTACCAAATCAAATGAAATTCTCAAGAACACTTTAAAATTCCTATTTTCACAATCGGACGTCCGAATCACGTCAAACCAATTCCGTTTCTCACCAAATTTCACAGATAAGTCATAAATATTATATTGGACCTATACCGGGCTCCGAAACTAAAATACAGATCCGGTATCAACAAGACCAAACATCAACCAATTCTTAAAAACCATTAAATTTTCAAACTTTTAATTTTCATAAAAAATTCATAACTCGAGCTAGGGACCTCCGAATTCGATTCCGGATATATGCTTAGGTCCCATATTTCGATACGGATCCACCAAAACCGTTAAAATACGGATCCGGACTCGTTTACCAAAAATATTAACCGAAATCAATTCAACTAAAGTTTTTAGGCAAAAATTCTTATTTTTATAAGTTTTTAACATATAAGCCTTTCGGGCCAATACTCGGACTGCGCATGCAAATCGAGGAAGGCTAAGATGAGGTTTTCGAAACCTCGTAATGCAGAATTAGGTTCTAAAATATAAGATGACCTACCGGGTCATCACAACTTCTGACCTTTTGGCCTCAAGTGCATATGACGTGCAATTTATCACTTCAAACTTATTAACCTTAAGTGCATAAAACCATTGGTTACACTTCAGACCTATTGGGCCTTAAGTACATCGAAATTATAATTTTTTCACTTCAAACTAATTTTTTTAACTTCAGACCCGACAAGTCTGAAGACTGAAGTTAATGCTAAAGTGGGTGGGCTTGCAATTTTTTTTGCAAAGTGAGTATATGTTCAATTGTGACTCCAAAAGCGAGAATGCATGCAAAAGTCCCATGTATTTTCTAAAATAGTCTAATATTGTCTGTTGACACTCATGCTCTATAAATGTTGAGCGATACATTTGGTTGAATATAAAGTTATTTAACCAAAGGAACAAAGATTAATTCTAACATCATACTTTCACGCATATATTTTTCCCTCTCATATCTAATAGAAAACCAATCAGGTTTCTTTTTTTTCCCCTCGGAAAGAATGGAGTAGTAGGGAACGAATCAGGACACATGAACACTATTTTTGTAGATATTATATAGTCATTGAAATCGATGATCTGATATTTTATGATCATCTTAATTGGTCATAGTCTCAATCTTCAAAAATCTGAACTTGGGTGTCTCAACATAGTGACACTTTTTTTCTTCCAATTATTTAAATCAAGAATTTATAATTAACGTTTCGCAGTTTACCTCAAGCCTCAACTTAATTTTTCGGTATCAATTCCTGTAATCTTAGTTTAATACTTATTTTATTTTACTTTATGTGGATCCATTCTATTTTGGGATTCTCGAGAAGAGAGGAGCTGTGATGGTTCCCCGACCGCCCAAGTCTCACGATTAAATCAAAAGTTAGATCTACATCGAATCTCACATGAATCGCCTCATCTATTCTCCCATGGAGGAGTTTGTTTCAAAAATCGGCTCGAACAGGAGGAGTACACCATGCTAATGTGCCTTGGAAGATCTACATCTTAGGATCAGGCTCCGATAAACACATTTAACTATCCATATAGCCGAGAGTCCTCACAGCCTAGGCATAACTATGCAATTATCAGAGACGTGCTCTACCACTAAGCTAATAGCCCGTCGTGCGAGCCTCACGCTGGGGACGGCTATGCCAAAAGCGAGAGAAATCATATCCTTTTCTTTCCTTTTTTGTCTCGGTGTCGCCATACGGGGGTCCTATCAACTTGTTCCCACCTAAAATAATAAGCTCATGAGCTTGATATTGCTTTACCTAGAGAAAAAAAAAGAAAATACATTTCATAAATTATTTATCAACTTGTGGTCTTTCAAAAATTTGGATTCATTTACACAATGCAACTTTAGTAGTACTTATTAACTATTTTTTCTGTTTTTAAATTGAAATCCGAACTAAGATTTCATTCACTTTCCATTCACAAAAGTCACATATGTTTATTTTTCTCTAGAAATCTATTTCTTCTAATCTATTTTAAGACTGAAAAAGAACTGTCACACCTATTTCCTAACAAATGCTAAACCATTAAAATTTATAAATTTTTCTCTTAATCTTATACAGAGTAAATTAAGACGTTAAATGTGCAATAGATAGTATTATAATACTTTTTTATCTTAAAAATGTAAATGCAAGTCAAGTTTCCTTTTCTATAGATTCACTCAAACAATGCAAGGAGAAGCTTTATAATTTAATCATATAGTAAATACTTTGCGTAATCAGTTAATCTCATCCACTTATCTAGTTCCTACTTATCCAACAGTCCCTATTGAGTTCTACTTGTACTTACAATGGGGTGCAACGTAGAAGATCCACTCTCATTCTTACAGTGACAACATAGTCTCCCACGTCAAACCTTTGCCTGAACGAAAAAGAAAAAAATCTAAAAATCCTCCTTAGTAGCCCTAAAATCTGAATCGACCAAAGCACAGTCCGACAGTGAAGAAAAACGCATGAACAAGTGAGGATATTCAGCAAAAAAATAATAATTACTTTCTCATTTGATCCTCCAAATCTTGAAATTTAAATATTCAAAAAACCCCATCAAACAAGAGTCAAGATCTGTAATTCCCTTACTTAGCTAATGACCCAAAAGCTTTGATACAGAAAACCAGTTTCTGCAATGGCAAGCTCAAACAAAGGCAAGATTATCTTGTTTTCTTTGCTTTTGTTATTTTATGTTTCATCATGGGTTTTTAGTGCTTTTGCTGAAAATGATTCAAGCTCTGAATCAGTTATAATTGAAGAAGAAAAGTTGTACAATCATGAGATTGAACAGAAATTTGAACATGTTGATGCTTTAGATGTGTTAAAAAGACACCAACTTCAATTAGAAAAACTAGAAGAGCTTGTTAAAAATCTTAGCTTGCTTGTTTCTAAGTTAGAATCAAGATTATTGGATTACCCTAAAGGTGAAATCTTGGAAGATAAGAAGCAGAGTTTTAAAGGGACTAAGCAAGTTGTTTTTGATGAGAAAAAGAAGATTCAAAGTGATGGTTTTGTGGGTAGTAGTGAGGGTAGTTTATTGGAGAGTAAGGTAGTAGATGGGGAGAGAATGGGAGCAGTGTCTGTTACTAAGTATAGTCCTCTTTGGTTGGAAAGGTTTCAATTTATATCAGCAGTGAGATTGGGATCAGATGCAACAAGCATCAATGTGTTGCCATTTAGGGATGCTGAAGGATTGAGTAAGTATGTTGTCATTGGCGATGATCGCGGAAAGGTGTATGCATTCTCCAGAAATGGGGAAGTTTTGATTGATTTTCAGACGTCGTTGAGTTCACCAATAACAGCTTATGTGTCGTACTTGTCTGTTTATAAGAATGAGAGTTTGGTTGTTACGGGGCATGAAAATGGCGGTATTTTGATGCATAGAATTTGGGAGGTAGTCCCTGATGGTGATGACAGGGCTGCTCTTCATATGGAAACCGTAAGAAAATTTGCTTCACCTGAAATCGAGGAAGGTGGGTCTTCGATTACAAGTTTAGAGGTGCATCATGTTGGAAGAAATAGGTATATTTTGTCCACGGATTTTTTCGGGAAACTTAGGGTTTTTAGGGAGAACGGCACTGTTTTTGGGTTGACAGTGCCAAAGAGCAGGCCGCTTGCGTTTTTGAAACAAAGGCTTCTATTTCTAACAGAGACTGGTGCGGGGTCATTAGACTTGAGGACCATGAGAATTAGGGAATCTGAATGTGAAGGTTTAAACACTTCTATTGCTAGGAGTTATGTTTTTGATGCAACTGAACGGTCAAAGGCATATGGGTTTACATCTGATGGTGATTTGATTCATGTGCTACTCTTAGGAGATAATATGAACTTCAAGTGCAGGGTTAGATCCAAGAGGAAGTTAGAAATGGCCGAGCCTTTATCATTTCAGGCGATTAAAGGATATTTGCTTATTGCTAACCAGGAGAAGGTATCACTGTATAATGTATCATCACAACATTATGTCCGGTCTGGTGGACCAAGGCTTTTGTTCTCTGCTGGTCATGATGAGATTGTAGCATCATTTTTGAACTATCAATCTTTGGAATTAAATGATAAATATAAAAAGGTGATTCCTTTAGTAGCCAGTGATCAAGAAAAGCTCATTATTCTTGGACTGGGAAATGGTTACTTGGGGATATATCGCTCAAACCTTCCACTTTTCAAAAATGAGTTCAACACCATGATGTGGACGAGTCCCGTTTTATTTTTCATCCTTTTCCTTTTAGGTGCATATTATTTTTTTGCCAAGAAAAAGGAAGCTCTTACCTCATGGGGACCTGACGATCCTTTCAATTCGACGAGTGTTACAAGTGGGGCTCCATTGGGATCCAGCCAAGGTGACAGATCTTATGCTGATTCATCGAGGAATGCAGATCTTATGGATCTAAGGAGTAGCGGCCTTAGAGCTCCATCTGGAAGGTATGTCTCTCCATCGTGCTATCCTGGTGGAACAACAGGTGCCTATAGATCAAATCCTTCCGATACAACTTCCAGGCCTTCCTCTGTTGATCCCAACTTTAGAACTACCTCGGAGTTGAAATTTAGGGGGTCGAATCTAGAAACATCAGGTTTTCCAAAAAGGAGAGATAGTCTATTTGTAAACAGTCAAATTGTGGATGATGGCAAGTAATCTGTAGTTCATGTCAGGTACATGTGTTAAATTCAGCAACCTTACTGTCATTTTTGACACGTGGGTAAGCTGACAATCTATAGCTGTAACTTTGCAACGGTTACTAATTGTGGTCAGTGGAAATAAAAAAGAACATTTTGAGCTTTCTGTTCTGACTACCTTGAATTGGTAATCAAGGAGATCTTTGTTATCAGTTTTTTTTCTCTTTTTCCTTCTATGCTAAAACTTATTCCAAGTATGCGCAATCCAGCTGTAAGTTCAGTTCTTGGAGAGATTACTCACACAATCGTTGAAGGATATCTGTCCTGTTTGAGATCAAGTTGGAAAAAGATAAGCAGATCCCTCACCTCGACCCCCCACCCCCTAAAAAAAGAAAAAAAAAGGAAAAAGTGGAAAGGAGAAATCATGATCAATGGATCTCACAACTTCGGTCTGGTCGCCGAGCCCTAAACTGATACGTGGTAGAATAGCCTTGAGTTTCAACTATCTTAGATGGAGCCAAAGGAGCCTTAGTGGAACAATTGAGGTAAGGTACTTGTCACTGAAACTGTTTTAGTTTTGTCGTCAGTATCACCATCGTATCTTCATCTCTATTACTCTGTTCGAAGGGGAAAAATATTAATGTAGGAGAACTTCCTTGAGGAATGTTTAGGTTCTTGCTATCTTTACCTTTTCATCGAAACAAAAATGTCGAGGTTCTTACAAGTCCTGCTTGAGCATTTAATGCTCTCGTGTAAGTGGAAATTTTATTTAGATTTTATCATGGATTAAAGTTTTAATTTTTTAGGGTCATGTTTGGTTGCAATTTATTTATGCTCATGTATTCATGAGATGCTGCATCTTGTATATCATGCAGTGGCAGCAGCAGGTCTTTACTTGGATTTCTAAGTAGAGTACCGATGATTTTAATCAATGTAAAAAACATTTTGTTATGAATTCAATTTGTGAGGGCTTGCTCATGTTTCTCAGTGGGAAACCGATCATGATTTTAATAGACAATTAAACTTAAGTTTGGTCTCTTGAGCCGAGGGTCTACCGGAAACAGCCTCTCTACCTTACCAGGTAGGGGTAAGGTCTGCGTACACACTACCCTCCCCAGACCCCACTTGTGGGATTAGATTGGGCCTGTTGTTGTTGTTGAATTAAACTTAAGTTTGGTGCAAGTGATGTGCTATAGATACCATAGTATTCTTTCAAGAGCTCAGCTTATTTAAGATAAGTTGAATCTTGTGAAAATCTCTTTTTTCCTTTTCTTTCTGGTGGCTGGGAAAGGAAAGATTAGTCCATAATAGTCTTTCCAGAAAGCCTTTGGTTTTGGTTTTAGTTTTGGTTTGGTCACCTATTTCATTTGTTTACCAAAAGTGTTTTAAGCTTTAGAAGATAGCATTTGGCAGAGTTAGTCAAGATATAGAAGAAACAAAAGGTAATAAAGATGTGAGGTTGTCATTTTTCATTCTTCAGATGGATAAAAATTGTTGCTATTTTCAGTATATCAAAAAGTGGGCAGTTGAATTTCCTCAAGTTTTCCCTTTGTGAGTTGTGTCTTGCCCCCTCCTTTCGCAGGGCAGCCCGGTGCACTAAGCTGCCGCTATGTGCGGAATCCAGAGAAGGACCGGACCACAAGGGTCACTGTACGCAACCTTACCCTGCATTTCTGCAAGAGGTTGTTTTCATGGCTCGAACCCGTGGCCCTCTCCTTTTTAACCCTGTATCAAGAGTAGTCATTGCTTATAGATCGATGCAGCTGCACTCCTGGACATTAATATTTGATAACGATAAACAATATATTTTCTATTAGATTTAAATCCTTAGTGTTAGTATAAGTGTAAGATGTTTTTGTTGAGAATATTTTTCACAAGTAATACTTCGTTCTATGGAATAATTATTGTTCTGTAAAACATTGTCAAACACTTGGTTGGATATAAATTGTATGGTGTGGTGGACGGTGGGTTGTACATTAAGAGTTGTGTTTGGTGATTATTAGGACTATCTAAAAAAGAAACAAGTGTGTATACGTAACTATGAAAAAGTCATATGCAGTATAAGTAAAAAAAAGGCCCGTCCGGTATACAAAGTATACCGAGTTTACACAGGGTTCAAAGAATGGTCACATCTCGAGGGGTGTGATGTAGACCCCTACCTTGATGCAAGCATTAATGGCTGATTTCATGGTTCAAACCCGTGGGTCACACGGCGACAACTTGATCGTTGTTCCAAAGTGTAGTATGAGCGGTGATAATCAAATTAATGCTTGCAAGTAATTTTCTCCATTAATCACTATTCTTTTTTTTTAATTGTTACTACTTACTACTATTATTATTATTATTATTATTATTATTATGGTAAGACAAAATCTTAGCTGATTGATATATTGTATTCATTGGAAAAAATTGACAAAGAAAGATACTTTACGTGATGTCAATTAAGTTATCAAAAGTTGGTTCGTTTGAGAAGCTTTTATCGTACCAAATTAGGAAAAGAAAGGAAGGGGCAAACATCCATCTTTAGTAGTGTAATTCGTTTTTTATAATTACTCAAATTATTTCCTTTACGATTTTCCAAAAAAGGCAAAAACCTTTCAAAATCTTGAGAGGCCCACTTCGTTTCCTTAGCTTTCTAGATATTCGATATAATCCAAAGTCTTTGAAACTTGGAAATTTGTTTTTAAATAGAAAGAATGCATATTACGTATTGATGAGTTCATCCCATTCTCAGGTAAGGGAGTCTGGCCTTTCAAAGTGGAGGGGACCATATATATATATATATAGAGCCATTTTTCACTCGGTACCTAATATTATTAGACTTATTAGTGATGGTTTACTATTTGGAATTTATCAAACCTTCTCATAATTAATTTCCACTAGCTATTCCATCGAAGCTTTCCACGCCGTGTTGCTAAAATTTGGCATGCCGGACCAAGTCAATACGTAGGGGCAGATGGAGCTTTTAGCGTCACGAGTGAAAGAGAATTTTTACGATATCGATCACCGAAAAGATAAATTAAGACATGTTACGGGATTAAATAATAAGAATAACAAACTCAGTTTAATCCCATGAGTGTGGACATATTACGGGATTTAAAGGAGATAAAAATAAAAAAGTTTTAGACGTTTAATTTTAGAATTCACTTTCTAACGCTGAAAGTAAATTTTAAAAAAAGGACAGATGTAGAAGGTAATCTCTCTCTCTCTCTCTCTCTCTCACACACACACACACACACACACACACACACACACATATA